GCCCGTTTGTCGGACTCGTTGCCCCCGCTCACGGATCGGCTCATCGGCAAAGCTCCGAAGAAGCCCGACGGTCGCGGTCGTCGGAATGAGGCGGAAAGCGGGCGGAAAGCGGGTGGGACGGCGCCCCGGGAGGACTGAGCACGGACGCTCCCGGTCGACGGCCGAGCTCTCCGCTCGCCAGAAAAACTCACTCGCGTTTGTCCGAGAAGGAAAAGCTTTTATTGAGCCGTTTCCCATCCCGGCTCGCCAGAGCGACTTGACGCCGGGCGCTTCGTTGGGCTCTTGTCCAGCGCAGCGGCGCCCTCGTGAGGTGACGCCAACCCGCTCAAAGGTTCCCGGTGTTCTTCCTCTTCTTGTTCTTCTTGCTTTCCTTCTTGGGTTGATGTGCCGGTGCGGGGGGCGTGGCCTCAGAGCCGGCGGGGTCCTCGGCTCGCCGGCCGACCGTCGAGGGCGACGCTTCGACCTCGGCCGCGGCGTCGGAAGAAGATCCGGAGTCGGCTCCCGCTTTGGAGCGCCGCTCCGCTTTCCCTTCTGCCGGCGTTTCTCGATTGGCTTCGGGCCCGGCGTCCGCTTCCGGCTCCGCTTGCGGTTGCGCTCGTTGCGCCGGTTGGACTTCCGCCTCCGCTTGCGATGGGTGGTCTCGCTCCGGCGGACGGAGCGTTATGTTGAGCGGGTCATCGTCCGGGCGCTCCTCCGGGTCCGACGCGGCGCCCTCTTGCCGATCCCGTCCGACGCCGTGAGACGCCTTCAAGGATTCCGCAAACTCTTGCAGCTTGACTTGCTCGGCCCTGAGACGCCGCATTTCCTCCGTCACGATGCTGTCGTCGTCGTCGTCGTCGTCGCGCTTTTCGGGCGCGGGCGGCGCCTCGGGGGAGGTGTCGGCATCGGGCCGGCGGACATCTTTGATTTTGGCGTACAGAACTTTCCTCTCGTCCTGCAGCGCTCGACACAACTTCTCCAGCTTGTGGATGGTCGCCACGAAGACCTCGTACTCTTTGCCCTTCTCGCTCCTCTGCGGGAACGGGACGGCGCTCGAGTGAGAGGGGGACGAGTTCACGCGCAAAGGCGCAAAGGCGCGACTCACCTCCTCCAGTAAGTCCGTCAAAGCTTTGTTGCAATTCTCGAACCTCAACTTCCAGACGTCGGACTCCTTCTCCAACCGCTTCATCTTCTCCGACATCTTACGGACGAACAGAAGTGCGCGAGATGAACCAAACGACGGAATCGACAGCGCGACTCGAGACTTGTTCAAGTCCACGCCGATGTGATCGCAGTCGAATCGGCATCGACAAGTCATCGGCGCCGACGTTCTTTTTCAAGTGAGCCGCGACGCTCCCAGTAGACTTTTGCGTATTTTACCCAAGAGTGCCGATCTGGGTACCTGTTCCATCTCGGCCTTGAAGCGGGCGTAGATTTCATTGCTCTTGGCTAGCGTCGTCTGGAACTCATCAAACTTTTTGGAGTAGAGCGCCAACTGCAGGGCGACAAGGTCATCAAGAGGTCATCCCAAGGTCTCTCGCACGCAAGCGCACCGGGACGATTTTAATTCAGCCCCTTTTTGAGGGAGGGAGGGAAGATTTGCCGCCTTTGCGCTCCCTTTGAATGTCCAAGCGCGGCGACGACTCGACCGAGCGCTTGAAACGTCGCGTGCGCTTTTATTTTGAAGGGCCGCTTCCCGCCGGTGAGCGCCTCGTTAGCCAACATCGCTTTCACCTGCGTTCGCCTCCTCGGCCCGCCGCATTCGGAAGTCTTTGCCTCCCTCCGCCGATATCGGAAACCCGATTGGCAATTTGCACCGCGGCTTCAGACGACTCTCACTTTTGCGGCACCCGAGAAGCGTTTGGAGGGAGCTTCCTCCGCATAGAAGGCAACGCGCGAAGGTGTGCGCGAGAGGTGACCGGAAGGAACCCTTTTTGGTTTGGTTTTGAACTCGGGCAACTGGTTTAAGTGAAGTCACGACAGCATTTCCAACTCGTCAGCCGTTGCCTTTGAGTCATGTCAGATCAATTACAGGGCGGCTTTGTTTTCCGTGAACATGGCTAACAAGCTAGCTAGGTAGGGAGGCCATATCGGTCCGAGTTTAGGGCCCCGAATTGACCACGGATGCCCCGAAGTGTCTGTTTTTCAAAATTTGCGGACCGTGTCTCTGGACTCTTCTTCCATTTTTTTTTTTTAGGGAAGGGCGCTCTCTGCCGGCAGCATGTGGCACTGCGGCCGTCCCACTGGTCTCCAATGCGTCTGTCGCCCGCAACTTTGGACTCAAGGCGGCCTGCCCTGTTTCCGGAGGCCCCGAACCCGCCGGGCGTGCTTTGGTAGCCCCCCCACCAGCCCCCGAGCATCCGTTCGACCCAGAAGGAGTCAGCCAAACGTCGGGCCGCGGCCACCTCCAGCCCGACCCGGCTCCGGGGCCTGCGGCCGGGCGCCGTTGTTTTGGCGGCGGCGGGCCAGAGGCCGGAGCGGGGGGGCGCGTGTCTCGCGCGGCAGCTGGCGAAAGAGAGCAAAGGTACGAGCGCGTCGATTACCTTCTTCTTCAGGCTCAGCTCCTCCTCCTTCATGGCAAAGCACTTGCGGGTTTTGTCCACCGCCTCGGCCAGCAGCTGCGACGCGGCGACACGGCACAAACTCAGGGACGCGCGAAAGGAAAGCGACGGCGAGCCGGAACCGGCCGCTCACGTATTCTTTCTCGCGCCGGTGCTTCTGCTGCGCGTCCGCCAGCAGCGCGTTGGCCTGATCCAGCTTGGCCGAAGTCAGCTGCTGTTGGAGGTCGCGGTGATGGTCCATCTTCTCTATAGTCTGCGCGCACACACGCACACGCACACGCACACGCAGTCAGGGGCCGGGGCTCGGCGCCGTCGCGGACGCTTCGGTCTTGCCCTTTGACCTCCTCTCTGCGCTGGCACTGCTCCAGCAGCGAGTGCAGTTTTTGGCTCAGCTTGGCGTTGTCCTCGCACAGCTTCTCGTTTCGGGCGCTGTGCTGCTCGATCTGCGTCTGGATGTCCGCGAGCGAGGTCTGGAAATGAGCGGCCATCTCCGCCCGCTTCTCCTCGTCCTCGCGGCGGCGACGCAGGGCCTCGTCCTGGGGGGGGCGGGGGCGCGTCAGAGTTTGGGAAGCCTTTGCGAGCGCGCGCGTGCCCTACCCGCAGCGCGGCGTAGTGGTCTTGGACATCTCGGCACAGACGCTCCAATTGGCCTTTCTCGGCCCGCAGGCTGCAAACGTCGTCACGTAGAGCCCCGATCTCCTTCCGTTGGGCGCGCTCGTGCACCAACTACACGTGTGCATGCGCGCAAACGCAAACGCACGCACGCGCGCATTCATTTGCCAGTGGAAGTTGAGCAGAAGCTGAGCAGGAAATCTCAACTCACCAGCTCGGCGTGTTTACTCGTCAAGTGATGGAGTTTTTCCTCAGATGTGGTCCAAGCGCTCAGACCGTCCAGGACGCAAGCCGCCTCTACCGCGTCAAGCGTTGCAACGATGACAGCGGTGAGAAATGAGCAGCGGCCCTCATTTCTCTCGTCACTCCGAAACCGCTCCCGGGTTGGAGCGGCCCGATGCGCCCGGAACGGATCTCCCCGACTTGCCATCGACGCAAGCCCGTGGCGACAAGTTGGCCGTCGGCTGTGAATGAGGGCTGCGGGCGCAGCTGTTGGGGAGCTGGGGAAGCCCCCCACCCCCCCCGTTGGCAAGACCGATCGCCCCCGCTTGAAACGTGAACCCGACACGTGCTCAAGGTAACGATTGCTCCGCGCAGATACTTGAGCCGTCAACGGCGTCTTAAGTTGCCGTCTCTGTGAACCGACATCGTCTAGGAACGGACGCCTCGATGAGCGCGACGGTTCGCCCCCCCGCCCCCCGCCCACCGCCACCTCGGGCCTCCATCGGGATCTCACGCGAGAGGCGCCACATGGAAACCGACGAAGAGAAATGAGGTCCACCTGCAGCAACGCAACGTAAGTCATGCGAACGATGTCACGTGACTGAGGAGGTCGCACCTGACTGGACGCTGGCCGCGAGGTCGTGGTGCGCGTCCGCATCCACCTGCAAGGGTCACACGGCACGCCGCTTTGACAAACGTGACGCTAAGACGCGGGAGGGCGAGACCGCCGCGGCTGACCTGAGCGTTGCCGCCGACGATCTCTCGGAGTCTCCTGCCGAACTCTTCCGCGAGGTCCTCGGCCGCGGAGGGCGGAGCTCCCTCATCTGGCGGGCGGGGCGCCGACGCCTCGGCGGCTTTCACCGACGTTTCCATCTTGGCGGGAGCGCTGGCGAGTAGCGGTCAACGGTCACGTCGCGAAGCGGAAAACATCGGCGGGCTCGGAACCCGGCGCCGCCCGACGCTTGCTTGTCGGATGTTAACGCGCCAAACGTACGAACGCGACAGCGCACGTCTTCTCCGCGGCGCGTCGAAAGCTCCCTCCGTCGACAGCATCGCTCCGTCCGTCTCGTGCGAGACGAGCCCGCGTGATCGAAGAGCGCCGAAGGCGGCGACGGTGACGGGCGAGCGCCGAGCTAAATTCAGAAAGGCGTTGTCAACGCAACGCGACAGCTGCAGCTGTCACCTTCGGGCGCCTCAAAGAGGAACGAGTGGGCCGGCGTACGCGGTTGCCGCGCTGGTTTTGTCGTTTTTAGCCTCCGATCAAGGTTTTCTCCGACGGAGCTACGGTGTCCGTTATTAGGACGGGCTTGACTTTGGCCTCGCGCGCACACGTAGCTCGTTTGCCCGCCTGACGCGGCTCAGCGCCGCTTTTGCAGCGTTGACTCCCGCGCAAACGACGGAGAACGGCCTCGACCGGCATTCCCCAAAAAGCACAAGCGCAAATCCCATCTTGTCAATTGCCGCGACCTGCATCGTGCTGTGTGCATTCAAAGCATTTCCCCTTGTCCCCTTCCCCTCGCAATATGTGGCCCGTTGTCGTCGGTGGCGAGCTCGCTCTTCGTGGCGGGTTTTGCCAAAGACGCGCCCGCGACTCCCTGAAAGGATGCCGTTGACATTCCAGCCGTCGCTTCGGACGCGCTTGTTTTGCCATTTTCTCCGCCGCCCCTCAAGTCGCTCGAAGCAATGGAAGACGTTTGCCGGATGGGATTTGAGGCGTCGAAGCCAGTCGACGTCGTCCTTTCTCAATGTGGATGAACGACGGACAACTTACCAGGCGAGCAAGCGAAGGCGACCGAGAGAGCGATGAAGATGATGATGACGATGATGACGAGGGGCCGAATGAAGTCAACAGCTGAACGCCCAAAATAATCCGACGGGCTCTGCCCACATTGCGCCCTCGCAGGCGTCGGCCGGCCTCAAGTCAAAGGCTGAAGCCAAAGCGGGCCCTTTGCAAGGCGCTGCGAGCGTCTTCCCGGAGGTCGTCGCGTCCACGATGTCGTGATGACGTCAGGTGGCATCTCGCCACAGGTGGGGAAGGTCCCAGTTCATCGCTGCCATCCGGAGGCGGCCGCTAGGTGGCGGCATTCGGCTCAAATATCGACCGCTCCCGAGGGAGGGGTGGGGTGGGGGCGCTCGCCATGATCGACGGCTGACGGGGAAGGAGCAGCTGGTCGTTTCGTACGTGTGCGAGGGCGCGTCTCTCGCCGAAGTGCGTGTCGGCGCACGTGCGCTCACACGGGTGGATGTTTCTGTTTCTGTTTCTGTTGTGGGAGCGGGTGAAACTAATCCCTCTCGTTCCTTTCAGCGCAAAGCTCAATGATTTGAATCGCATCCTGATAATTGGAATCGAATCGATTACCGCTTTTGGAATGTGCGTGTGAGAGAGAGAGAGCGCGTGCGTGCGTAAGTGGCTCTCTTCGGCGTGCCTCCTTTCAGACAAAAAAAAAGTCAGCTCTCCGGAGAGACAAGGACCACCCACCCGACCCAATAAAGGTCGCACGCACGCACGCACGCACGCCGCGCACAGGATCACGTTTCGCAGAACACTGCTTGGGAAGCGCTGGCCTAATGTGTTGACAACACGCTTGCGAGTAGCACACTTGCCGGTGCCAGCTTTCTTTGCCGAGTGAGCTCACTGCGCATAGCTTGAGCGCGCGTTATTGTGCTTAACATGTCTGAGGGGGCGACGTCATGTCAAATGAGCTGCAATGATTTTTTTGGGTGGCTTTGGGATGGGGAGAAAGGCGCGTGCGCATTTGTCTCCATC